ACAACAATATACTTGAAATCGTAAAATTATAACGATAAATATTTAAGCACGCATTTAAAAAAAAACTTAAAATATTCATGCTGATTCTAACATTGTGACGAACCATAACTATTTTAATTTAATGTTAGACTCATTTAGATGATTGTACGCTTTTCTACTGGATTGTCTTAATGCAATCTAAATTTTTGTTGGATTTAATGCACTTAATATTTGGCGATCGTGCATTGAATTAAACCGTTCGAACATAAATTTTTTTTAACTGCATGATCTTGTGTTGCCAGGGTTTAAGTACTTCTTTGCGCATCGTGTTGTAACCATTGTTCGGATTAAAAAAAAACGATTTATTTCTAAACCCTAGCAACAGTATCTCCGATTAAGTAAGTTTTTACTGTCCAATATCCTAATTCTTTGAAACGCTCTGCCGACGACGTATGAAAAGGGTAAGAGCTAATTCCTTAACAGCGCGTTTTTGCAGACAAGTATGCGATTGATGAGTACTGACACCCAAAGTACATATATTGAGAATTCGAGAGTGAAAAGTTGGCGTAGTCAATCAGTAACGTTGATTTGTTGATAGTCTTCTAGACGCTTAAAAGTAGCAACAGTTTCTAAGTGATTTTGCCGCAGTGTGAACCATCTGTGAGCAAACCACTCCAGTCGATTCGCTAGCCCAAGCAGTTTGTTGTCACTCTCAGCACTGGAATTCATTAAATATATTTTTTTAAGCCAAACGGCTATCAGTAGTTTTGGCAGGTTAAGTTATGTATTTGTCTTGTCTGCACATGTGCGCTTAAATTTGATCTAGCGTGAGTTCTTTGCATTTAAAGTAATTTAACAACGTTATTTAATTAGTATATTGTGTGTCATCGGCGTATGATGTAATAAATGTAGAATCGCCATCATCGCCCTCTTTCAGATACGAAAGCAGGTCATTGCTGTAAAGAATAGATAGCGCCGGACCGAGAATTGAGCCTTGAGGAACTCCTATTAAAATGGGTTTAGACAAACCACGTCTGACCCTGAGGTAATTCAACGAATTGCGTTCAATCTCGAAGATAGGATTCAAACAAATTGAGAGTAGTACCTCGAATGCCGTATTGAAACATTTTGCTAATTAATTTGTTGTGGTCAACAGTATCAAAAGCAGCCGAAAAATCAATAAATAAACCGACAGTTAAAAGACGCTTGTCAACTGCAGAAACCGCTTCTGCAATATATTGACATAAAGCTGTATCAGTCGATCTGCCTCTCATAAAGCCATGCTGAGAATCATTGATGATATTATTTTTTGTTAAATAATTGATAAGTTGATTATTAATTAGATATTCGAGTACTTTAGAAAAACTAGAAAGCAGACTGATTGGTCTGTGGTTACATACATCACTTGGGTCACCTTTTTTTAACAAAGGTTTCACAATTGCGGTTTTTAAACGACTTGGGTAAACACCAGAGAGGAAGCGAAGCATAAATTAATAATGTGACATAGGGGGCTGGCTATTAAATTGTTGACTAATTTTAATAAATTATTATTTATTTCGTCCACTCCAGAGGATGAAGATGGCTTCATTGATCGAATAGCAGAGACTACGTCATCTTCAACCAGCGGGGCCAGGAACATTGAAGTACTAAGCGATGTGGAAGGGGAGATATTTCCTTTGGAAATTGCAATGCTAGGGCGATTATAAAAACGACTGAAGTGAGTATCAAATAAGTCAATTGCCTCGGAATCAGAAACAGTCTCTCCATCCCTGACAATACTTATACTGTTTACGCTCTTAGTCCGACCATTTAACGAGTTTATAACAACCCATGTAGCTTTAGTTTTATTTACGGATTTAAATATTTTAGAATCAAAGTATCGTACCTAGGCCTCGCTTCGTCCGTTTTAAATTTTAGGTTGGGTTTGGGGTAGGTGTAAAAATAAGGAACGGAATTTTAGGATTTTAAATTTTGCATGAAATGGGCTTCATTCACATACTTCCAAGCACCTACATAGCTACATTCGAAAAAATGTAATATCTTTGCAATTAAAAAGTTACTAAATAAGAGGAACAAATTAGTGACAGAAAGTTGTCATCCCTCCGCTAATTTTATACAATTTTACGCTACCTATAAAAAGTTGTATAAAGACATTCCGGACAACTTGGCATTAAATGCCTTTGAAAGACAATTGGAGATAATTAGCTGAGCGAGACAATGACAATTCTCTTAAGTAAAAGTAAAAAAAAGGATAGATAATCGTATCGCGATCAATGTTATACACACGTGTCTCGAAAAATGTGTTTTAACGATGTTTGCTCGCATTTTCGTGATATGCTTTCAACGAGAAGGGTAGTTCTTCACGAGTCCTTGTATTATATGGATTCTCTAATTGGGATGCGCCTTTCATGCAGCTTTACGTTTCCATTCTTCTGTTGGTATATTTGGAATCATTTTAACTGCTCGTTTTCTTGTAAACACGTTCCTTTCTACCCAGTTTATAAAGTCAAAGGTT